AACCATGGGGGAGGGGTGATTCTAGTTATCTTCTCCCTGAAGGGTGCGATGGAATCCATAATCTGGGAGCATGTAGAGTCAAATGAGGAGAGAAAGATGTCAGGGCATGTAGGATGCTTCAGAGCTTCTGAAGAATAAAAGTCAGAGACCACAAAGGCAGCAGCAAAATCAGAGGCCATTGAAGGAGTAAAAATCCTGCGATGCTGACGTAGGGTTGTAAGTCTAGGTGCACTTAACGAGACCAGGACCTCGAAATGGATGAAGAAATGATCAGAAATAGCCATATTTGATACATCCCTAATGCACACAGACAATCCTCGTGAGATGACGAGGTCAAGTGTGCACCCACGTTGATGAGTGGGGCAAACTATTGATTGGGAGAGATCAAAAGAGTCCAATAGGGAATTGAAATCATTCACTAGCTGGTCAGAGGTACAGTTAACATAGATGTTAAAATCGCCACAGATCAAAAAACTGTCAAACTGTGGGATAAGCTCCGCCAAGAGTTCCCCAAATTCGTTGACAAAGTCCTTAGATTTAGGCAGGTGGTAAACCACTGCACATAAGGTAGGACAATGCAGCACTAAAACAAAAATTTGTACCTCAAAGCTGGAAAAGCAGCATTTTAGAGTAGGCTTAAAAACAGATGCCAAGCTGCCGCCTCTGCCAACGAGGTGTGGAGTGTTAAAAAAGGAATATCCGGTCGGAAGGAGCTCAGAAAACAGGCTATTATCGCCATATGTCAACCAGGTCTCAGTGAGGAAAAACACATCCAAGGTATGCATGGAAATAAAGTCATTAAGAACAACAAGACTTTTGTTGAGTGATCTTGCATTAAAAAGTGCAAAGTGGCGTGGGGTTGGCTTATCCTGAGGCAGGGCAGTATGATCCACTGGGCGAAGATTGTCCTGTGTGCAATGCCGGCGGGAGTGCCTCATGAGCCAGCAGCATGGGCATCTGGGCCAACCGATCAGAGAAAGCAGTAGTTAGGAAGCAAGGTCCGCCTTAGGTTAATGGTGCCATGCAGTAGATTCGATGATGAATCCAGGCAAGCTTTGAATTTAACATGGAGTCCACCTCTCTTGCCATGACGCCTATGGCGAAAACTACCCGGAAGCGGCCCATCTGATTAAAATCAATCTCATTTCTGCCACTCACAACACATTTCACTGCTGAAAATATCTGTGCTGCTCTGACACCTTGACTGGGGAGAGAAAAAGGAGCAAGTCAAGGTGAATAAATAGACATGAATTAAAATGAACTATAGTGAAGTTGCATTCTTGTTGTGCTTTGCAAATGACTTCCCAAATGTAATTTCTTCAAAGTGTTTTTACAGTTCTCTATGTTTCTATTGGCTTTCTGTTTAATAAATTGTGACCTAGAGTAGGTGGTTTTATTGTTTGTTGTCAGTGGCCGCTAATGCTACTGTAGCTGCCTACTTAGTTCTCTGTATCAAGTGTGTGTGTGTGTATATATACATATATACACACACACATATACACACACACACATATATATACACACACACACACACACACACATACATACACACGCACACACATTAAACACGGAAGCGTTTTCTGCGCCCGTCTCACTCTGCAGATAGAATTCCATTATATCAAATGTGTCAGTCCACAGTGAATCCATGAGATGCGTGTCTCCCATAGAGCACTATCATTTTTTTACGCTTGATGTTTTTCCCTCTGCCACATTTAATTAATCAAGGAATTTGTCTCCAGTACATAACCAAGGCTACATAACACAGCTGCCCCCAGCTTAATCTCCACAGTCAGCTGTTTAAATTACACAAATCCTGTTGCATTTCATTTTCTACTGGCATCTATTATGACTGATCAGGCTGCTTGAGTTTCACTTTCACCCTCTGTAACAAGCCAGGGAAAACCAATAAAATCCAATCCATAGGCTACAGAAATATTAGGAATGGGCAATGATTTGTGAATATTCGAATAGTAATTCAGTTTTTTTTTTAATCTACTATTTCATCCTAAAATGGTTTTGTCTTTAAAAACCATTGTTTTCCCTTGCTTTCACCGGTTCCTGGAAACAATGTGATAATGAGGGCAGTATATTATTTTACTACAAGGCCAATACAAATAGCAGAGACTACAGCCATCAAGAAAAATGGTCATGGCACAACTGGGATAAACTGCATGATGAAAATGCATGTAAGATGCCCACTCATCTGATTCAAAAGGTTCTCTGACTGCAGATACAGGGACAGCGCCTACAACTGAATCGTATGTGATGGTCAACAGCCTTTATATTAACAACTGAAAAATACAGAGTGCTGGTCTTCAGATTAAAGCAATACCAGAGCAGCATACTGCTGAAAATATGGTGAATGTGCTGTCCACCACTGCGGAACACGGGGGACTTGCAATATGGTGCTAGCATGGTCTGTGTTCTTCAAATAATTGTTGAAAAGTTCCCAGCGAATATCGAATAATATTTTAGCTTGAAATGGCCATCCCTAAAAAATGTGATCTCTTTCTGATGATCTTACAGGAAAACTATTTGTGTCGAATACATCCTTGTTGTCGGTCGGCCTGGTAACTCTTCGTCCGGCTGCTGCCCTGCTGACAACTGTTCTGATGATTTTAAAGACACAGAATGCACCGCTAACGTCTCACTTTCAGTGTGTTTTCCCAGTTGCATGCATTTCACTGTCCTGCGCTGTGACTGCGATTCTTTCATGAAGGTATCTTATCCATGTTTCTCACACATGCACAGCAAAGTAGAGGAGACAGGTTGAGTAAGAGAAACGGGAGTTAAAGACAATGTTAACATGCAAAAAAAAAAAGAAAGAAAGAAAAAGGGGAAAAAAAAACACTGACAAACATTGACCCCATGATGGAACCAGGCAAAAATATCATTTTCAACCACCCGCAGTTCCACCCTCCCTGATCAACTAACCTACGGGAAACACTGCGAGACTCTAAGCACCATGGTATTGATATAACAATTTGGATGTGTAATATGTGTTTAGAACACATGGCATATCGAACACATATCTATAAAGGAAATGTATACATTTAGCTTGCAATAATGTCACACATTAGATGATTTTGATTAGCATCTCTCTAATATAAAGTTCCATCCATGACTATCATACACTGAGAAAATACATAAAATTTAAACTTAATACTTTGGCTAATGCTTCACTCACCCTTCACCTACAAGAAAGACTCATACTGACAGTTTCTCTCATCTGAAGTTAATACATCTATATGCTGTAAATAGAAATGGATTGGGGTACATATACCCTTGGTTTATATCATATACTGTATTATATATGTGTGTGTGTGTCTTGTATGTCATATACAACAGTAGTATATAATATGTATTCACATTGTATATTAATCTGCACTATCTAAACTGTTTTATTACACTGCTGAATCCCAGCTGATGATCTGTACTTATTATAGATGATCTCACAGTGATCATTCATTCTTCCTCCTCAACCATCAGGTAATTAGACATGAATAAACATCCAGGTTTCTAGTTTTTGTTAGCAGTTTTGGTTACCATTGACGTTTATGTACTGAATTACTTTTTTAAAATTACATTGTTACTGATATGGAAACAAAGAGAGGCCATAAGTATTTAAATTTTTTTTTTATCTTTTAGGCTGAACATCCACCTGTGAAATTTCATTTCTACATGATTCACTCATTGCCATTGAATTCAAATCAGCAAAAAATTTTACCTGTAGCTGGATTTAAACATATCTGGACAATGTTTTGTCTGTAATTTCAAGTGGTGTAATAAAAGAAATCTTGAATTAGTGAACCTTAAAAGGAAGTTCTAAAAATCAAGTGCTGATGTTGCAAGATGTTCAAATTCATTAATTGTCAGAACTTAAGTGATATATATACATATATAAATAAATTAAAAAAAAACTCTAGATGCTAATTCTGAATTATGGAAATTCAGACTTGCATATACAGTCATGTGAACAGTGCCAAGGACACAATGAAGCCTATTACCAGTGGATCAGACCTCCAGTCTATCATAATAAGTTGTTAATCATATGAAAAGAAGCTCAGGTGAGTGACTGCACACCATATAGGGGTGATTTTTTTTTTATTTATTATTAGATGCATGGTTTTCAAAGTAAAATATTTCAATGCAATATATTCTATGGTATTTAAATGTCAACTGTAGGTTTTAAGTGGTGGTGGCTAAAGTTCATAATTTAGAATTACTTGCTCATGAAAATATGGCCTTTCTGTGCTTCCATATTTAAGCCTATTTTATCAAGATATGGGATGTGGGAGGTACATTTTTAATTCACCATAGGCTCGCCATGCTGTGACCTTCAGGCAAACTAAAGCTTATTCTGCTGTTCTTCTTATTGGAAAAAAACAGCAGCAAAATTTTAAAACATAATCATCTGGGATTAAATGTGCTACATAAAAAAAAACAGTTAAAATTGACTATTCATTGTTTAGTTTTTGAGGCTGTTCAGTTGTGATCACAGTGCAAGACCCTGAAACTATTTGAACACCTTGTCAAGTACAGTGTCGTCCTGCTGTGAAACACAGTTTTTCAAGGAAATCTGCACAATGCATCATGTCCTATTACTGTCTTCTATAGATTTGAAATGCTTTAATAAAATCAAGTCAATAAAGAAATAAAGTGAAAAACAATAGTTATTTTTTTCTTTTTATATACAGTATGCATTTACTGTGTCATAATTAGGAAATTTGTAATTTATATCATTTCTCAGTTTGACTTGTTTTTATTTTTTAATCCTTCCACAGTCTGCTGGTAAGGACTTTAACAAATAAAATTATATTATTATCATTGTTATAATATACTAGTGACGCCCATAAGAGCGCAGTAGAGCAGGTTGGTGGTTGGAGGTAGGGTTGGGAGGTATCTCAGGGTTGGAGTTTATATGACTTTTGGTCATTTTTTCATTCCTATAAAGTTCCCACCTTACATTCCTATAAAAATCCACTTGCATATCAACACACCTGTTCTGTACTCTGACAGCTCCGATCTCCACTACCCCCTTCAGTCATCCTCGAGCGTTTCCGTCTTAATGTCATTCCCCATACTGCACCCTGCGCCATCCATCTGATTGGATAGGGCTTGGTTACCGTCATTAACATCTGTCTTCTCCATGCCAGTTGGGTCCTGGGGCTCAGACAGCTCGCTGTGAATGGTGGGTTCATCATGGAGAGAAGGGGAGGGCGGAGACCAGGGCCCCACTGCCTGAAGACCCACACCTGTCACTAGGGAGCGGCCAATCACAGACGTGGCCCTCTGTCCAGACAAGCTTCCCCGAGCCAGGGTGGAAAACCAGCTGGGGAGCAGCGTGGGAACCTGAGTGAGGAGGAGAAGAGTGGAGGATGATTTTTAAATATGTGGCTAAATCTGAATTCTCTTTCTTGTAATTCAAAACTTCTCCTGTAAATCTACCGGCACCTCTTAATCCGAGACTAAAACCCCTTAATAAATACAGCTGCAGCGTGTGTAGTCAGACTGTACCTGGGTTGGAGATGACAGATCAGCGCGACTGAAGCCAAACTGTTTGGCTGAAGCTCTCTTGTCAAACAAGGATACCTCACAGCCCTGTCACAGAGCAGAAAAGTTCATACAATACAACAAGGTCATTCTGCTGTCACAAGAATATTGTCATATTGCTGTGACATTTGACCTTTGACTTGACATTAACTTACTGATAACATTAGAGATCTGGAAATGTTTATTCTAACACTGACCACACTGAAAGACACATGCTGAGGAGGAGTTCAAACTCATTTACTTTCTACATCTTATTTACCTGGTCAGCAAAGTCACTGCCATCCACCTCATCGCTGTTGGACTGACCTCCCGGACTCTGGACCTCGATGCCATGACTCTCCAAGATGGCTGCTTCTTCAAAAACACAAACTTCATCATAGCATATCAACCTCAATGGGCAACACACTCAGATGCATGCAAATGGTGAAACAAAGTAAGAATGAAGCAGATAAGAAACTGTTCTTCTAGAGCCGCTCAGCTTCCTGGTACATCTACAAATGTCCAGGTGTGTGTGTCTGTTAATGATGAGCAGAATGCAAGTGTGGGCTGGGTGATACACACAGCAAAGATCACCCAGTTGAATCACAGAAAAAAAGCTCTTATGTGTTTTTACTGATGTATTTAGGGACTGTACAGCATGCTGTAAGTGGATATAAAGTTCTTAAGAGACAACATACATTGTGTTTCTATGCATCTGTTTCATGTTGAGTCCTTTAGTCACACCAATGCATATTATATGTCTAACTACAATAACGTCTATTGTTCATACACACAGATGTAGACATTACCGATGTTGGCACGCCTCTTGATGTCTTTGCGGCGGTTGGCGAACCAGTTGTAGACCTTCAGAGATGTGACCCTCTCCATATCAGACAGCTTCCTTCCTGTGACACACACACACACAGGTCAGACATCCACAGTAGATGGCAGCTACTAGGTTACTGTTCTCTGTGCTCTACTCCTTTAGTCTTCTCCTGTGATTGTTTTTAAAAGCTCATTCATGCAGTGCATCTTCAAGGTAATGCAAAGTTCTTCCTTTTACTTTTCTTGACAGACAGGTTAGCTTACAATACAGTTAAAAGAGACAGTGTTGCTACTTAGTCACCCCTCATATTAAGTAGTGCATTTGTCATGGTGTGACATTTTTAGTTACCTTCAATTCTCTATATGCATACACTGAGACTTACTCACCATGCTAACCAAAGTTTAAAGAAAATAAATGGATGTCAATGTGCAGTCTTAAAAGGAGGACACTTTCTGTTGAGTGTCAAAGTACTGGACATGGCCAAGGGAACACCAGTGTTTTTCCATATGCAGTACGATCTCTATGTTAAGTATATTATTTATGGTTTGTCATCCTTTATTTCCCCTCAGTAATTACTAAACAGGATGTATTTCATAAGCAGTTACATTTATAGAAATATATATGTTTCTAATATTTAGTTATGTCCTATGGATTATGGCCATTCAGCCCTCATTCTACCTACCTGGTTTCTGAATGACAGCATTGCAAGCAGTAGCAATCTCTTCTCTCTTAGCTTCATCAGGGTACTGGTTATCACTGAAGTAGCTATGAGAACACACACACACACCGTTGCAGGTAATAATTACAAAGCCACGTTTAAACATCGCACTTTGTTACATTTTCAGCCTTCTTTTATTGCTTCGTCCTCCAGCCTCTGACAGCTCACTACCTCCTCACCTCTCCATAACAGTCAAACACTCCTTCCTCCAGGTGAATCTGCTCCCTCGTCGCAGACGAAAGCCCCCGGTGGTGGGTCCAAGTGGGGCCGGGGCTTGGTGCCAGTCCATCATGTCCTCCAGAGCCAAAGGGGCAGCTCGCATAGCCAGAGTGGCACCTGAAGTAACAAACACCAGATAGCAGTAGTCATAACGTTTACTATTATGTCAGCATGTTCCACAATGTAATGCACTTTTCTACTCAGTGTTCTGATTTTTGACAATGGAAATCACTGCATGTAATACAGTGCACACATCACCACCAGGCTGTGAAGACAAAAGTGGCCCATTACATCCTGACGTTCTTTTACTTTAGATCATCAAGCCAATGAACCAAAGGGAAGAGTTTTTTTGTTTGTTTGTTTTTACAAGTGAAGATACAAGATAACTTGAAGGTACCGACTTTTTCATACAGTACATTCCATTATGTTGATCTCAACGTAACACATTGTTCAATCACAAGAAAACAGTTTACATTCTTTTTGACCATAAAGAGAGACATCTCAAGATCTCCATAAAAACACAGGCCATGGCTTATCTTTTCTTCCAAAAGACTCATTGATTACAACTTATGTTACAAATGCAACTCTCAAAATAAAGACATTCTCTGCTTGTAAATCACAACTTATAAATAATTCTCCTCTATTTTGTCAATGCTGTAGCCACAGCGATAGATAACAGTGAGCTAAAGTACAAAATTCTTTTTCTGCACTGATGTATTAGAGCTGTTACAATGGGGTGTGCAGGGTCCAACTCAAGCACACTTTGACAGTATGCAATGGACATACACTGTCCGCTATATAGTATACTTTGTCTCATCATGTTGCCATAGTGACTTTCCTCTTTTAGTGTAAGTCTAAATGGGACAAAGGGCCTGGTGGTGGAGGGTGGTGTTACCAGGATTAGTCTTCTCCAGCTGGTACCAGCGGAAGAAGGCTCGTTTCTTTTGCTCGCTGAGGTCTGATCCCTGCTGTAGGAGCCAGTGGGAGATCCGACTCTGACTGATCCCTAGAAGACGAGGAGGAGAAAGAGAAGGAATGAGATGTTTTCCTTCTGGTGGTGATTTGACCTTGAGTAAAGTGCGGATGAAGCTGATACTCACCTGTTACCTGAGCGACCACAGCCTGGGAGATCCGTCTGTTTGCCAGGAAGGACTTGATCTCCTCTTTGATCACAGAACTGTCCCTTCTATGAGCAGAGAAAAATAATAAACATCCGGATCTCCAGCAGTCTGACATTACTAACACACAGTGTGCAAGATAACCAGCTGGCAGTAGCTGTAGAATATGTGTAGGAATTAGAGGCCAGCTAGTGCTCTAATATTCTCTGCTCTTCTGGTTGGATTTCATCTTCACATACTCGAGAATCAATGCCACTCTGATTGCTACTGTCTGGCTGCACACTACAGAGGCACTGAGGGTCTGTGTATGTGTGTCTGTATGTAGGCAGTAATCCTCACACACCATATTCAGATTCAGTGTGTGCTATAAGCAAACTTGATGACTATCAGGCTTTTATTTTAACACTACAGTGGGCTACCCAACAAAACTGAGGACACCCGCAGTCAATATAATTAAAATGTGAAATAATAACAAATCCTGTCCATTTAATGCAATTTAATTATTTTTGCCAAGGCTCAAGAATAAAGAAGCTACTTATTTGCTTTTTATACTGTCCTCTTCTGTCTTTCTTGATTAATATTATTAATTTAACCCTATAAAACCATTTGTATCATAGTTGCTACGCGAGTTTCTGAGCAAAACAAATTGCCAAAAATGCCCCATGTATCAATTGTGATACAAAAATAAATAAATAAATAACAAGGCACATTTATTCCTATATGCCTGGACTGTCTGTCTATGCATAAATGGCAAATAAAAATCTTGAATTTTCTTTTGGATTTTGTTAAAAGGTTTAATAAACATCTCAGTTCCAAAATATTAGAATGCTCTGCCTATGTTTTGATGTGTCAGGCTTTACAGGGTTAAGAACCGTCAGTGATAACTGATTAAAGATTTTTTTAATATATTTTGTATGTCCACCTTTATTTTTGTTGATAGATTCAATCCTGGAGGCATGGATGATACCAGTCTTTTACAAATCTATTGTGAGATCAGGTCAGGGGACATATTTGGCCAGGTCATGTTTCTTTTTCAAAATCTCTTGTGAGAGTTTTGCGTTGCGTTTGGGATCACTGTCATGTTGGAAAATTCCTCTCCTCGCAAGCTTCTTCCACAGATCTTTTTGCCCAGGCTGTTTCCCTGTCTGTTCTTCAGCACAAGGCTGTGTTAATAGCAAATTGTGCATGCTGTCATTTTTCAGGGATGGCCACTGTGACATCTGTTATTGGTAGTATATCTTTTCCTAGACTTCATAACCACCTCTGTGACTGTGTTACGGCTTGGCACACCATATAAAAAGTATTTTCAAACAGTATTTTTCAATTTTCCCCAAGCTTTTCCATCTAGGAAGCCTGGTACGTTCTGGTCTAGCTTAACCTAAATTAAGGTACGTCTGGTCTGGTCTTACCTCATCAAGTCCTCCACCTTCTCATCAATATCTAAGTCCTGTTCACTGGACTCAAACCCATAGCCTACTGCTGTCACATTGCCACTAACCACACCCAGAGGAAACCGGGGCGGTGACAGCTTCCCATTGGTGACAGCAACTAGACCGTTCTGGGCTACCGCTGCCATGACAACAGGAGAGGCTACTGGAACTGGCAGAGGTGGGGAGGTGGTGCTGAAGTTGTTATTGGGTGACAGTGAGAGTTGGTTGTTGGGGAAACTTGTCTGAGTGCCAGTGGAGGTCACAGAGGAAGAAGTGGCGACTGTGCTGGACGAAGACAAGGAAGACGAGGGAGCCATGTAGGAAGGTTTATGGGTCAACTTGTGTCCGTGCTGCTGGTCCAGGTGGTCCAAGGTGTCCAGAGCGTGGAGGAGCTCTGTCTGCGTGATCCCTGTCCTCCGTAGCCTCTGGAGCAGGTCAATCTGCTCGATGGTAAAACGAGGCTCCTCACACTGCTGGAACATCCTGCAGCATATCATAACAGTACCTTTAACACCAAAGAAAGTGCAGTAATTTAGTATATCTGTACAGGTTTTAGACAGCTTATCAGCTATAAGTAGCACAGTACACTACAATATGCAAGAGCATTTTTCTGCAAAAAGAACAGTTTTATACAATTTAGTACATGTTACTGTCCATATTTTTTTTTTACTCCTATGCAAGAAAAAGCAATAACTATTTACATAAGTGAACTTTTATGGAGAACTGTTCCAGTAGAGTATTGATATGCAGAACTAAAGATACCCTTTAAGGTTTCTGACCACCAGCAGCACTATGGAGTAATGTTTTATGAGTGGGTCCCTGGTTTGTTTGCAAGTGTGACTAGAGCTGGCCTGAATCACATTGTGCCACTGTTAGGTGACAGTACTGGCTTAAAAATCAGCTTCAGAAAAAAAATGTATATTGTCAGAATTTCATAGATCTCAAGGATACAGACAAAGTGTTTTGGTGAGAAAACCGACAAATACACTGAATGATTATTTCAGAAGATGGTGGCTATAAATACAGTAAAATCAAAAGAGGTCTGATTAATGAAATTCCTACTAGTGATCTTCTCTTCATACATCCCCAAAAAAGCATCACCAAAGACACAATCACAAAGCAAAACAGAAGTACAGCCACGTCTGTTAGACTCCTGCCTGCAGATTTACAGCATACACACAGACAACATAACTGCTCAGCAGCTGGTGTCCAGATCCAACACGCACTACTCCATATTTAAAAAGTCTTTGCTTATAGTGGATATGCTTTCCAAAACTGTCATAATGCTAGTCACTGGACTGAACTGAGAAAGAGGGAGAGCAAAAGCTGGAGGAAAACAGAGAAATTATAAAACATGTGTGTCTTGATGCTTTTCTTTCTGATGCCAAGAAGAGGCTATAGGAGACAATCAAAGTCAGCAGACAAGTCAACACTTCCACAGAGAGGGAGGGCCAGGGTGTATCTGTGTATGTTTGACTTGGGAAAAATATCAAGAATAATTTACATCTTGGGCAACCAAGTACCATACTTTCTCTCTCTGCTGCAGAGGATGAGTCATACTGTGTAAAGTTAGACTGATACACTGGATCGATACAGGGCAGCAAAATTATGACTAAATGATGATACCTTAGTCAAAATCTGAGTTTACCAAGAGACACAACTTTATTCTATATATACTTAAATACTAGGGGGACAGCAGTGAGATGGCACAAAATGAATGAAGAAAGAGAGAGGGAGCGACATGGAACCAGCCAGGCCAGGGTCTTAGAGCAATCACAAGAGCCATGCTAAAGGGTCTCTTGGTGGTGCCACACCTCTTCCATTTTTTTATAAGGAGGAGGTTCAGCTTTTGCTCTATGTACACAGTGAACAGCGACAACCTCAACAAGCATGTGCAAATTTGCCAAATGCAATCTAGAAATGAATAAAGGATGATCAATGGAAGACAAGATGCAGCCAGGTGCAGTTTAACTGATTCACATGAGACAACACCTCTGAAAGCTGAAGCTGTGTCCAGTGCAAAGAATGAAATGCTTACTAGAAGGTAGCCAGAATAATGTGGATTCTCATATTCCGTGGACCTAAACACAATCCTAGTTATATTAAGACAAGCCATGGAGGATTAGCAAAATACCATGAAATTAAAACTTTCAATACCAAAACTTCCTCTGAAACTCTCAAATTGATGACCCCTAGCTTTTATAAGTAAAGCATTAATGATTTTGAGATTATATTTTAGCACTTTTTAAACCACGTGCAAACTGGAAGAGTTGGCAGAGGACTGCAATATTTAACCTGACTCTTTACAATAGACAGCTGCAGAGAAACACCAATGGTGGTAAACAACTCACCATCTTGAATCAGTACTCCATCAACAGTGACTTTCTAGCAGCCACACACACTTTGATAACACTGGTGTAGTTCCGACAGGGCACTGCCATACCTTATCAAAGTCATTTTAATTTGATTTTGTAGCCCATCATAAAATGGACAAAAAACTAAAAGGAAATAAATTCCAGAAATAGGCAGGAACCATAAAAAGATTGATATAACATAATCTAGTTTTAATGGATTTCATTGTTGGCAACTTTTTAAGCTCTAGCAGTAAATAACATTGGAGAGACTTCAGAGTTTAGGTGACAGTAGAGCAGTCATAGCCTATGTGTGATTATGCCAGGCTGGGATGTGTGCACCTACAATCAAACTTCTTTTATGAGATTTCTTAATAGAAATCAAACTGTATTTGTATCCCTGAACCCAGTGGCCCGCCTCATGTCCTACCCAGACGTGGCAGAAACTGTAGCCTGGCTGCATGCATGCCAACTGCTGTGGACAGAAGTCATTTAATTACAGTGGGCAACTCAAAAATAAAATTTAAAAAACACATTGGTCAGGGGGCCAGAGACAACACTGAGGAGACCTCAAATGTCAAGGTTGCACCATGCACTGATACAGTGTTTTCTTTAAATGATCGACTTTAATGCCGAATGACATCGAAGTAAAAACTGGTTTCAATTTTGCGCTGCTCCAAGATAATAGGGATTCTCGATAGAGTGTTTTATGGACAATGAAGGACAACTCCCCGATTTGGCATACATCTTATAAACTAACCAGTTCTAAACACAACAAATTAGTACGTTTTGTTAATGGCTGGACTGTTGTGCACTGTAATTACCACACTACTAAATAGACTGTGCATCGCGATGGAAAAGTTGACATTGGCTTTGATTAAGTGTTTCTTGGTGATCTATCTTCATGCCGAATTTCTGGCTGAGTCCGGTGGCAATGTGAGCAAGAACCACCAAGGAAAACCTCGAAACACTGCCGAAATTTGTAAGGAGTTTTCACTGTCACCATTCAGAAAAAAGGAAATGTATCGGGCTAGCAGGACCGTTTGAAGACAGTAGTAGTTGGAACTGTAGGAGTTGGATTACCTTGATATTCCAGTCTTAAGAGGCTCCGCAAACGTTTACTTTACCATATATATCCGCCTCGGAACCCCGGGGTACACGGACACTGACAGTTTTCCCAAAATGTCTCCTCTGTTTCTAACTGGGTTTCAATCCCCCATCAGACACATTCGCCTTTTGTCCGGCAGACAGGCGCCATGTTGACACAATAACGCAAGGAACGACGGGAGTCGCAGTTTACATCATTTACTGCACACACACGATTGCCAGTTTATTAGAAATACCGGACTACAACTGATAGAATGTCAGTACAATATCTCTTAAGTATTACTTACCTTTTGTTGTACCTGGTACTTTTAACCATATTGACTCTGAGAGACGAGACAGTCCAAGTAACTTCAAAACAGTGCTGATTTATTCAAAGGATCACAGGTAAAATTAACATTACACGCTCAGGTATCTTGCACCTCCAAACTGCTCACAGGCAGATGTAAGATGAAAGACCCTGAACCCACCAGGCCTGTACATTATATCCCCTCGGTTGGGCTAGCCCCATACTACACAGAAACGTCAACCGAGACGTCTCTGTTACCAGCTTTGCAGCTGGTCATAGCAGTAGTCAAAACATGAAGCAAATCAATGTGTGTGTCTGTTGATTAAGTGTTGTGTAGCTAAAAACATTCTCACGACCTCTAGTAACATGTTGTGACTTAAACATAAGAACATATTATGGCTAAGGCTACAGTTATACACATCATAATAATAATATTAAACATCCTGTCTGCTGACAGTCATCAACTCTTCTCTCTAGTTATCCTTGACCAGATGTACCCTGTAGAAACTCATAAGCATGACTAAGCATTTAACAGTCTAACTAGACATCCTATCTCCACTAAACATTTCTAATACATAAAGTAGCTATCCAATTTCTATCTGACTAAAAATACCTAACACTTTATTAAGTCTATGGTGTTCAACTTTTGTTGAAAGGCGGCGATTCACCTGGGCAATTTGTAAGCTGGACTGTACGAACTTTCTGCATTTTTGTGTTTTATTATGTCAGAGGGTTGTTCTAACATGCAGCTTTAGAATCAATGTTATTTTGGTCCAATTTTGGACCAAAACTTTATAAAAAAAATAAAATGAAAGAATAAAAAAAAGGCCAGTCTGCTGAAGTTAACAAAAACAGCGCTGCAAAACGCTGGACAGAGGTGGCTATTGATTCTGATTGTACAATATCGACCTGAAACAACTACAGCAAGAGGTACTGTATGTATGTCGTCATGGTAATCAGTGGTGTGCACAATATCAATCAGGCAGATGTTAACCAAAACCTGCCTGTGCACATGTCGATGTGTTCTTGGCAATTTACATATTTTTATAAAGCTGTGCTCTCCATTTATTAATGTCAGTTATTATCCTAGATGATAACTGGCTTCAGGATGTTATTCAGAAACAAACACTGCTGAATGAGCAAATAAACGCATAATGAAACCTGCTGAATGGCAAATGTGATTTGAAAGAGGTGGTGTGTGCTGCTCTGTCATTTTAAGTTAACTCAGGTAAAGTGACATATGATTCACCAGGCTTCTAGATGCATTTATAAATGTGTTTTGTTACTGCTGATCATTTGGTGACCGAGTGTGAGTCCAAAAAAAATAATCAAAAAAAAAAATCGCCGAGTTACAGTAATGCAAACATTGTTGTATCCTGTATGTATGTTGTTTGTCTCTATTACAATGCTTTGTTGGACTGGCCTTGTGTGTGAAAAAAATAATCTAATCTTAGTGGAACCCTAATATTTAGAAATCTGATTAAATCAATGTGTATAGCCCACAATAAGGCATGTCCACTCATATTTAATTAAAACATGCTACAACATTTACAAGTAACATTACAACTGTACAATGACAACATTGTTTATTTACTGATAGAAAATGTGTCTACAATACAGTATAAAATATAAAAATGAATGTTACTGATGCAGTATCTATCACTAAGATAGAGGCAGCAGATTTAAAGTATGAAAGAGGTAGGTGTGTGTGCTCAGGAGGGAACCCAGATGTTGCCATGCGTGTCAGGAGCCTGGCTGTACGGAATGTTCCAGATCCAAGGCTGATCTGGAAACACAGAAAGAAAAGAAGTCACTTTTTCCCAACAAATACAAAGGGACATTACATAAGACAAAATAGCAGATTGGCTAAAGCACCCCCAGAATGTAAATTCTAAATTAGCACCTACTGACAGCTTGGGACAGGGATCATGTTTATAGCTGTCATTAAACAGGAAATTGAAAACATTTCACATTTGTGTAATTTGTGTGTTTATGTTCCTATGTTGTTTTATTCCTGTATTGATATTATTTTAGTTCTTACCTTGCCCTTGTAAAGTACTTTGGTCAACCAGACATTGTTTTTAAAGTGCTATATAAATAAATTTGGATTTGATTTGATTTGATTTTACAACCACCTGTATACCAATATATTTCGGGTGGTATTGCTAATCAAGCCATGATGATCTTGCCATAATATTTCAACTGATTCATAATTTTCCAAAATGTGTTAATTTATTGAAAATAAAGAAACAAATTACTGCCATCTGGCAGTCAAATACAAAGTGAGAGAGCAAGAAACACACTGAATACTCCAGTCTGTTCACAAATACATGCAGAAGATTTTGTACACACACATACATAAGTGCCACATATTCCTGTACCTTTTGCAGCGTAGCATGTAGGGGGGAGGTCAAAGGGCACAGGGAAACCACATGAGGATGCAGAGACAGGAAATGGATTTTTGTTAACAGGGAAGGTCTTCATGTTCTGGGAAGAGACAACCATCACACCACATAAACACACTAATGCACTTTTATATCATCTGGAGTGCAGAAAAAATGACCGTCTGTTATTCAAAACATGTCAGTCTTCTTTTCCTACGCTGTCATTTGTGTGTTTTTATGCTGAAAATGTACAGAGGTGTGTACTGGATGACAACTTAATTGTGTGCAAGCTACATAACAGATGATTATAATCCAGTTCACACTACAGGCATCTTCTGTCTAGCAAACGTACTGTATGAGCACAGAGCTACGGTTTGTTCATAAATGTTGCTCTTACAAAGGCAGAAGGCACATAGAGGACTCCCAGCTCGTATGAACGAACCATCATCTGAGTGTTGTTCTTCTCAAGTGCACCCCATGCTGCTTTGGAAAGGTTGGCACTAAAAACACAGACACAATAGGCTTAATACTTCAGTACAGCGGTGTGTAGAGAAGGACAGGACCATTTTAGTTCATTTTCAGTAGGATTGAGTTTCACACAGTGCAGCACAAAAAGTTTCTTTTCATGAACAGTGTCTGCAGCTGGTTTGTTAAACTGATAGACTAGTGAGAAACAATGATACAATGCATACAGTACAAACACAATTAAAAGGTGGAACTGTTATAACAAAACCTGCCTTTCTGGTTCTCCGTAAGAAATAAAGTTTTTATAGGAAAAAAATTACCTGTATATAAATAAATTAAAAAACAAGAATGCAGATGACAAGTACTGTATTTGGACAGTTACACATTTTGTGTTTTCCAGCTCTGTGCTTCAGCACAATGAATTTGAAATTCAATCATGGATACTACATTAAAGTGCCAGGTGTCAACTTTCATTTGAGTAGATTTCCATCAATACAGAAAAAACAGTGTAAGAGATGCTATCCTTTTAACACATAGTGCCTGACATTTAGGGGCTCAGAAATAATCAGATACACATGAAGTCACACTAAATGATCATATTTAACATTGTGTGGAGAATCCTTTGCAGTCAGGGCTGCCTGAAGTCTTCAGCCCACAGACATCAGAAGCTTTGTATCTCCCCTGGTGATGCTCTTCCAGACCATGACTGCAGCCACACACAGCCCTGCTTGTTGTGTTGCCTTTAGTCTGGTCTTCGGCAGGTTGTTTCAGACTGAGATAAGGGGACTGACTCAACCAGTCAAGGCCATTCTACCTCTTCACCCTGAAAAGCTCTTTGGTTGTTTATGGTTGTTGCCCTGCTGAAGGGTGAAATGTTGTTAAGGGAGTAGTGATGCATGTGGCTGAATCTGAGCGCACAGAATGCTCCTGTGCACCTCCGGGATGTGCATCTTGTGCTGAATCCTCTGAGGTTCTGGTCATGAAGTCTTCTCCTGATTGCTGAGAATGTGCCCAACTGTTGACACTGGCAGATGCCTTTGATATCTCTAGACTTGTGAGCTGAACAGTCTGAACAGCTGCCCAAGAACCATTTAGCAGTGTGTCTAATTATTTCCCAGCCCTTGCAATTTGAGCCCTACAGGTTAAAAGGCTATACATCACACATAGTAATGTTAATATGAGACGTAAACCCACTGAGAATAAAAGGTGCGACTTGGCAGTTTAATGTAGTGTCAGCTATTTTACTTCCAATTTAATGAGTTGCGACACAGAGCCTAACAAACACAAACTGTGCCCAAATACTTCCAGTCTAAACTGTACATCTATGAGTGGGAATTTAGTGAAAGGCTAATGATAATAAATTTGGGGTTAAACATGATAAAATGGATTTTTGCTTCTGAAATAATGTAATGGTTTAAAGCAGTATGAAAGAAACATGCGAACACTATAAACCATATATACAAAGAGACACACAAGTAATTTCACTTAATAAAAATTAACAAATATGCAGTTAGCACATTCACCTTGTAACAAGGAACCAGGCAAGCTGAGTGTAATCTGGTGACGCCCTCATGTATGTCTTGATGTGTGGCATGGCATGACTTCTTCCTATTGAATTTGCCTTCCAACGGCTACACAAACACACATACTCAGAATATTTCATTCACCTGTTCAATTAAACTTGAAAAATGCAGTAATATAGACAGAGCCATGTAAACTGTAGGTAAATACAGTTCTCCCATTAGTTCTGTCTAAACTTAACTTGCAAACACACTTTACAGCAACAGCTGTCAGATATCTTTCCTGTATGCCAAAACTGACTGTTATGAATTTAGTCCCTAGGACTCAAAGATGCAGCCAGCAGACCCATTTAAGGCTCTAGGTTGGCAAGAAAAAAGGCCTCTAATCAGAGGTTGACAAGAGGAGTAAAGAAAACTACAACAATAGTAACCTACTGGTGATATAACAACCAGTGAACTGTTATTGACTGAATATTGATCAATAAGAGCAGTGAACGTACTAAAAGTAAGAGTGGAGCCAGCGCTGTTTCTGGGCAGTCTGGATGCTGTAGGGAAGAGATCCTCCCGCTGGAGGACAAAAGAGATTTACAAGACAACCAAACACACAACAGTCACTAAATAATAAGGGCCAATTTAATAAATACTTTCCAAAGTGATCAAAGTTAAACCTGAACTAGGTAAAATATCTATTTGCATGTGACCTCAAGGACACA